CCCATCTCTCGCCTAGTCATCGTTCCTATGACCAGCAATCGATGCGCTCAGGCACCTCCAAGGCCTCGTCTATCAACAATCCAAAACTGCTCGAAACAGTAGAAGATGCCATCCGCAGATTGATCCTTCCAGAACTCAATGCCCTGAAGAGGGAACAAAGCAAACACAAGACCCGGCGGGACTCCACCACGTCCAGTGCTACGAGTGCTTCCCGAGATGATTTCCTGAGCGACCGGCGAAGGTCTAATGCCACCGACCAGACTGTGGACCGTGAAAGCATCAAGAAGACGCGGCGGGACCGAGAGGCTCGGCATGATATTGACTATAGCCCTTCTCAGAGCGGGGTTAGCCAAACATCTACCACTGAGCTGGCGACCCACGATCCCGACGAAACAGAGAAGAAGCCCAGCAGTGGTTTTCTTCCTGCCGCGGTAGGGGCGGCTGCCGGAGCCTTAGCTACCGCTGTGGGCATAGATGAGGTCTTCGGCTCTAATGACAAGAAGACACGGCGGCAACGACGGGCTGAACTAAGGTCAAGGGCATCGGGACATAACCAGCGGGAGGACTATGAGGACTCTGAGCTCTCTGCCGTGCCGGATCCGCCCATGCCGTTGATGAGTGAAGTGGGTACAGCCATGTCAGGCATGACAAGGACATCCATCTTATCTGCCGAAACGGAAGGACCCCGCTCAGACACGGAGGGGCGCACACCCATCCAAGAAGTCAACCGAGGCGTGCTCTCCGAGTCCAGCACTCCGACACCTACCAGAACACCTGCCATCACGTTGCAGAATGGTCTTGGTACCCAGCATGCTAATGTTTCTCACGGTGATCTTAAGGCTCTCCCGCGGAGACGCACTGGAGATATCGTTGACGAAGAATACGACCAACGGGATTATGGACAGAGTTCACCCATGAGCTCACAGCATGAATATGGCGAAGAGCATGAGTACGAGCATGGCGATCAAGAACCGAATTATACCTCATCCGGAAGCTACGACTACTACAACACACAGGATGTGCCACCGCCCTTGAAGTACGTGTCTTACCAGCCTGAGCGACGGGGTCTCAGCCCTATACCCAGTGTGTCTGGCTACACCGAGGGAGGCAGCGAGGCAGCTGCGAACCGGGACTCTCATGTTACCCACACCAGCGGGTCGACGTCTTCGCCCGGCAAGCAGCATGACGATATGCCGCCTTCTCCTAGCTCAGGTATCGACTACCATCCAGTCGGCTACAACGACGGTAGTGAGGCGTCTCGTGCCGATTCGGGCCAAGCGGTGCGGGCCGTGGGCGCTAACCCGCAGTTTGTACATCCTCCGGGCATAGATGCACTTGAGTCCAATGTGGCATCGCTGGTCGATGGATCCATGTTGGATGGATCTGTCCTAACCTCCGATTCTCTTGGGTATCGCAATCAGACGGTCAGCCCTTACCAGTCGACACCGCTGCGGGACGAACACATGCCACAGGGTCACGCCACTCCATCTAAGCGATCGGTGGAAAGCTATCAAAGCCAGCAAAGTCAGCAAAGCCAGCAGCCTCTTGACCAGAAACAGCACCGCAACGTTTCTCCAGTATCTGGCAGCCAACGGTCTCGTGAATTCGCCGACGAATACGATGTAGACGAGTACGGACGGAAGGTGCCCGTGTCCCAATCCAACCAGCATCGACAACGGCCCTCACCAACGGCGTCCGAGGCTGCTATAACCCTGCCTGCTCTGACTGCCGCAGCTGCTGCGGTAAAGGCCGCTGCCATCAGAGCTGCGGAAAATCATGGCAAGCACAATTCCGCGACGGATGATGAATTCGTTGGTGCTGGAGTACAGAGGAACAAGTCATTTAAAGAGCGCGCTATGGAGGGTGAAACAGGACCTCATGGTCGTGTCACTCATGTCGCAGATCTGGTTGATGACTATGAACAACCGAAGATGGATTTCCGGGCCATGCCCGACTACAACGACCCCCTGCCGGATGGCCACTGGCACGATGAAGAGTCGGTGGCGTCAGCAGCCGATCAGGACCGGTATGGCGACATCACTCCAAGACAACAGACTCCCGTTTCGCGGGGTGTCACCCCTCAAGAGCACTATTACGGCCACGATTCCCGGCTCGCTGGTGGTGAGCGCGTGGTGGGCACTGGCCACGATGTTGGTCAGCCTGAGGTCGCTGCGGCTGCATCCAATGCCAGCCATAGCCGGCAGCCTAGCGAAGATCAGGAAGACGAATGGCATAGGACGTCTGATGATCGCAAGAGAGACACTCTACTCACCAATCCTTATGAGGGCACAAGTCCCGTTGCCAACCTGCCAGGCCTTGGTGACAACCTCATCCACGCCCAGCAAGACTATTCTAACTACGGCAACGGTTATAGTATCCAAAGCCCTCTAGGACACAACCCTGATGAAGGTTACATCTCGCAGGGCCCCAACAAGTCTCCTGATATCCAGGGCGGCAAGGCTCATGAAGTCAACTTCGCCCCTGACCAAAACCAGAACTCATCCCTCGATCCTTTCGTGGACTCGAAGCATACAAGACATCTCAGTGGCATGTCTCATGGCATGGAGTCGTCATTTTATGACGCGGCTACCGGTGCCGGCATTGAGCGGATTGAGTCCAAGGACATCGTTGCTCTGATGCAGCATCTTATGGTCAGGGACGCGCAACGTAGCGCGAGGGATACGGAGATCCTCGTGACTCTCGTTCGGGCTGCAGCGGAGATGCGCAACTCGTTCGAAGACATCAAGAGGTTGCTTGCCGATACCGAAGATGTCATCATCACCGAAGTCAAGGAGAACACCGAGAAGACAGTTACACGGGCTGTCGGCGGTCCTCGTCCGTTTCCTGGTAGCGGTGCCCGATCATTGCAGGGTGGCGGGTCACAGTCGGGTACCATGACGCTTGATGATTTCCAAGCAAAAAAGGCAAACATCTTCCGTAGAGCGCTCAAAGGACTGAGCGGCAAGGGTGTCAACGATCTCGGCAGAATTGAGGGAATGCTCAACCACCTGTTGACTGAGGTTGATGTACTCAAGGCACAGACAGCTCCAGGGGCCACCAGCACAAGCAACCACGGCGGCCAATCTTACGAAAACCTTCAACCAGAGGGTGCTTACGAGCAGGATCGCGGCTACGAGCCTGAGGGCAACGCAGGCACATCGACTGCCAGCCATCCTAGTCAATCTGGCCATCTGTCTATTCCCCAGTCGCGCGGGCAGTCGGCCAAGCTCGGCTACGACCGCAAGTTTTCCGATCACCGTATCAGCACTGTCCACGAAGATGACGAGGATGATGCGTACTACGACGACGAGAGTGTCCATTCGCGTATTGGTAACCCTGACATGTTGATGACGCCCGCTATCGCACCTCAGAGGGGAGGCTCGGCCTCTCTTGCCACTCCTCCCCGGACTGCAGCCACGGCGCCAGTCTCGATGAGCAACGAAAACACGCCTCGGGCTGAAAAGAACAAGAAGGCCAGCTGGTTTGGTATTCCCAAGATATCACGGTGGTCCGAGACCACAGCCTCTAGCGTGGCGCACACGTTCCGTCGTGGTAAGAAGTACGAAGACGAGGGCCGCTACCAGAGCCCTCCGTCCCGGTCCGGATCTCACCTTGAAGGGTATGACGACTACGACGCTCGCACTGACCCGTACGGGGACGACAAGCTGCACACGGGCTTATCGGAACAAGACCTGGCTCACGGCGATGATGTGCATTCCATCCAGCAATCTCCTGGTCGACAGGTCTTGGAGCAACCCCCACCCATAGGATCGAACGGAGAGTACAGAATGACGCCTGAGGATCCCAAATACAAGGTCCATCGCGATTCGCTAAACCTGCAACATCCTCAGCCGAGGCCTGGGCAAAGCGAGCTCTTCAAGCAGACACTCGAGTCGCAGGCTCACGAGTTCGATTCACCAATGAGTCCAAGATCAGCAGAGTGGGCTGGTTCCGCGACTAGCCTGCACCGTCTTCCGCGCAATGCCAATCGGGTCAGCTACGGCTCCGCCGCTGAAGAGCCTGGTCAACAGCAGCAGTACTGGACATCATCGCCTGGTGGTCCTAACACGATGGCCACATCAGGGCCACCACGGCCACCCAAGGAGCCTCTCGATCGCTCGGGTAGTCCTGCTGGGCTGAATCGTGACACGCCACCCAAAGGCAATAGGATCGGCAAGTTGCAGAAGGCAAGCCCCCTCCCCTACCATAGCGTAGAGAGTGGCTACGGGACCATGACCCACGGGGCTCCGAGCAACAGCTACGTCAGTCAGAATCAAAGCCCGCAACTGGAAAACAAAAACCTAAGCGGTGCTCTGGGGACACCCTCCCGTCGACCAAGTGGGCCGAGGGCCATGACATCTAGGAGTGCGGACAGTCTCGATGGAGATGCTGAAAAGAGACGCAAGAGAGGTTAGTCTCAGGAATTTCTTCAAACAAAAATAGGCTTGGGTCAACGCTAACTGTTTACAGCTACTTTTGGCACCGTTGCGTCCGAAGATACGGATACTTTCTAGAGGGAAATTGTTGTACACTCAATGGCTTTTATCTTAATAGCTCAGCGAAGGTTGGGCAAAAGGAGTGATGGAGTTTTTGCTCAAGGCACGAAGCGATCTATAGATTCTTGCATTTCACTCAGATACCCGGGGCATGCATCACATCCGGCGAACAGTCCGGGAGTGTCAGAAGCGATGGACCGTGGCTGCTCATGCTGAATGCGCAGTGTTTTGAAGGCTAATTGGTAGGAGTGCCGGGAAATGTGGTATATTGCTCCAGGACGATGCTGGCCAAAAAAATGGCGTTGGTCTCTTAATTCAGACGAATGATATCCCGTACGGATTTCTACTTGATGATGGTGTCGTAGGCGTAGTTAATGCTTGCAAAAAGCATCTAATCGTTAAGACTGGATGAATTTAAGGAGTCGTAAATTGAGTCTACATATTCAAAGTCATGTTTTAGGAAGTGGCTGATAATTAACTTCTCACGGCGAGCTCCATAACAATGGTCTATTAGTGTAGTGGTTAGCACGTGGGATTTTGATTGCCCTCCAAGCTCCATCAACTCTTCCCGAGTCGCAGGTTCGAGCCCTGCATAGACCTTACTTAACCTTTTGACTTTTTGCTTCTTACAATCGCTGGCACTGATCCCCATCCCCTTCAAAACGCACTCGCGTTAAAACGACGGACTGTTTCGGTAAAATGACGGTCTTGGCATGTATGTGGCGGTGCAGTACATCGAGGCTATCTGCCGAGGCCTTAAGAATCGACGCCAAGACAGTAGTATAGACAGATACCCACCTAATCCCTGCCTACCCCAGTCTTTTTTTGGCTGTTGCCGTCTTGCCGTACTGCCTAGCCACCGGTCTGGTGTATCCTCCCACTGCCGCCCTTGTTGCTAGTATAAGCCTTGTCGCGATGGCTTCTCCTGTCTGTATTGACCTTACGCTCGAGAGCGACGACGATGTTGCCTCCACGTACTAGGCGCACCGTCAACGGCCTACAGGAACGGCAGGAACGGTAGGAACGGCAGGAACGGTAGGAACGGCAAGAACGGCAAGAACGGCAAGAACGGCAGGAACGGCAGGAACGGCAAGAACGGCAAGAACGGC